TAATTATAAATAACCAACCTGCTTGCAAAGGGGGGGACATGGACTGTGAGGTTAGGACCAATGATTTAAACCTGTAATATTAGTACATTAATGTGGCTCTCTTGCCTAGGAAACGAATAAGGGAGAAGGTGTTGAAGAGCCAGTGATTTAATGCTGATATTGTATACCCTGCTCTGATTCACACAAGCATTTAGAGCTACTTGTTCGCTTTCATTAGGAGCACATATTTCCTACATTAATAGGCATGCTTGTAATAAGAACAAACCAGAAGTTGGTCTGGTGAAAAAGGGCTGGTGTCAATTAATCCACAGGTTGTCAGGTTTCCCATTTCTGTCTAAATATTTCGTTGAGCGAAATATTTAACCAGGTTGTTCTTTTAGTCAGAAATCACTTCTCTGGATTTAGTGTGCAGAAGCAATTTCCTCAAGGGCATGAACCCAGTTCTGATTGAGTTCATCGAGGTGCTATAGTGTCAGAGGCAAATGCACCAGATTTAATAAAGTCCCAGGTTTCAACTGTTTTTCCTTATTTGCCGTAGGATAAAGGCAGATTTCCCTGAAGTCAAGGAGGAGGTCAATGGTGCCCTTTCAGCGAGACATGTGTGTCAGATTGCATTTCTTAGTGCAGAAAGTATTGATCTCATGTGTAAAGATCTTTCCTATGCTTTCCTCTTCTGATTGATTCTAGAAGCTACTAGAAGTTTCTCTGTATGAGAGAAGCAGGGGCAGAAGGGCTAATGATTGTTTGGGTTATATCTTCAGAGAAGCTGAGTACAGCTACTTTGAATGAGTTTTCTCCCAATTAAGGTCATGGTGACTATAAATATAGGCCAGAAGGAGCCTGGGTTTTTACCTTTTCTCTTCTCTCTCTCTTCTTTCTGGTGTGGTGTTTCTGTTTCTGTACATAGGATGCTTAGTGCTAAGGTTTAGTCTTATTATGAGTTAAGTTTATAAATGCTGCAACTGGATTTTGTATGGAATAAGCCAAACCTCATTGCATTGGATTTGATAACCATTACACTACATTTGCCTTCAGCACAAGTAAAGCTCTGTTGAATGAAGTACTATTGCCATAGCTGTAAACTTTTCCTTTTTCTTGCGAGGAATCCTATTCGGAAAAAAGGAATTTCCCTTTAAAAAAGGGAAACGTTGACAGCTATGGCTATTGCCTCTGGTCTATTTTTGGGAACTCTGCTGAACTCGGCAACGCATTTAAGGTTTTCCTCCACACTTATGACAACATATGACAATGTGGACCAGATCCAGATTTGCAGAATCATAGAGTTGCAAGGGACACCAAGGATCATCTAGCCCAACCCCCTGCAATGCAGAAATATCAGATAAAGCATCCAGGACAGATGTCTATCCAACTGCTACTTAAAAACCTTCAAGGAAGGAGAGTCCACCACCTCCCGAGGGAGACCATTCCTCTGTCAAACAGCTCTTACTGTCAGAAAGTTCTTCCTGATGTTTAGTCAGAATCTCCTTTCTTGCAACTTGAAGCCATGGGTTCGAGTTCTATCCTCCAGAGCAGGAGAAAACAAGCTTGCTCCATCTTCCATGTGACAGCCCTTAAGATATTTGAAGATGGCTCTCATATCTTTGGGTTCATGCCAGAGTGGTGCATGCTCTGGTTATCTCCCGCTTGGACTACTGCAATGCGCTCTATGTGGGGCTACCTTTGAAGGTGACCCGGAAAAGCAAAGGATGCCCCCCATTTAATGTGGGGAGTGGTCATTGTAAAATCAAATAAAAATGATGAGGGGGGGGGAGAATTGGGTATAGAATAATCAGAGGGAGCAATGGAGGTATAGGCCTTCTGACCTTGTTGTTTAGTCTTTTAGTCGTGCCAACTGATTTGTTCAAAATTGGGAAAAGAGTACGACAAGGCTGTATATTGTCTCCCTGCTTATTTAACTTATATGCAGAATTCATCATGTGAAAGGCTGGGCTGGATGAATCCCTAGCCGGAATTAAGATTGCCGGAAGAAATATCAACAACATCAGATATGCAGATGACACAACCTTGATGGCAGAAAATGAGGAGGAATTAAAGAACCTTTTAATGAGGGTGAAAGAGGAGAGCGCAAAATATGGTCTGAAGCTCAACATCAAAAAAACTAAGATCATGGCCACTGGTCCCATCACCTCCTGGCAAATAGAAGGGGAAGAGATGGAGGCAGTGAGAGATTTTACTTCTGACCTTTAAAACCTCTATTCTGCAGTGTGATAATTTCTGGGCTTTGGCCCTTCTTTTTTTTAACACCTAAGAATGGGCAGTTGGTAGTGCCAACATGGCCCCTCAAACTTCCTTTCCCTTCTGTTCCTCTTCGTCTTAAAGGGACCCTGTCAAGTCAGGGAATTTTTTGTGTGTGTGGCTTTCCGTCCTGGCTGCAGATTTTGGAAAGGAAATGTGAGAACTCGGAAGGCTGAGTCAGAAGGCTTCGCTCTCAGCCTGGACCACACAGCCAAGGAGACTTTCCTTGCCACGTTCGCTGATAGAACTCACAGGGACAGGGAAATAAACGCAGGGAGAATTGAAAAGAGCTTCAGTTCTAGGGGTAAGCTCTGTCGCCAAGCTCCCATTAGGTAAAAACAATCCCTTACTGCCTTGGCACAGCTAACTTCAGACCAGCTTGAAAGACAGTTAAGCGCTGCACTCTTTGCCATTTGCACCGTGGAAACGAGGAGAAAATAGCTGCAGGAAACCTCGTGAACATTGCAAGGGACTGCATTTTTAAGTCCGGGCAGCTTTTCAACTTGAAATGTGAGACCCTGGTAAATTATGACAATTTATTTCGTACAAAAATCCTGTCACTCACTCTCAAGAAATCGCCTTTTTTTATCCTTAAAAAAATAAAAATAAATCAATTTAGGAATTAAACTTGAGACAAGATCAAGTATATATTTAGGCTACAAATTCAGATCCAGTTTTACACCCATTCCACTGACGAAAAGAATGCAGAGAGCGGTACTTTGGCGGGAAAGCTGATAGTTCCCTATCGCGGGTCCCCATGCTCTCAGTTCATAGCATTCCTTCAAGAGAGAGAGAGCAATGCCTTGTAACTGATAACAAAGTTCAACAAAATTAGGGAAGGGCAAGTGGGGCCTGCAACAAAAGATTGCAGGGCAAAGTGCTCCTGTTCAGAGTTCCAGCCAGCCATGTTCGCTTTCATTCCATTCAATCCCCATCAATCTCATTTTCTATTTCCCCACCTCCAATAGACACACAGTATTCTGTGTGTATTCTAGGGATGCGGGTGGCACCGTGGGTTAAACCACAGAGCCTAGGACTTGCCGATCAGAAGGTTGGCGGTTCGAATCCCCACGATGGGGTGAGCTCCCATTGCTCAGTCCCTGCTCCTGCCAACCTAGCAGTTCGAAAGCACGTCAAAGCGCAAGTAGATAAATAGGTACCACTCCGGCGGGAAGGTAAACGGCGTTTCTGTGCGCTGCTCTGGTTCACCAGAAGCGGCTTAGTCATGCTGGCCACATGACCCAGAAGCTGTACGCTGCCTCTCTCGGCCAATAAAGCGAGATGAGCGCTGCAACCCCAGAGTCGGCCACGACTGGACCTAATGGTCAGGGGTCCCTTTACCTTTACCTTTATTCTGTGTCCCCTGAGTATATTCTCATGGGGCTTCTTTATTCCCAGTTAGTTTACCCCTCCCTCAGTGATTGTTTGTACTTCTGCACTCTTGTGGGTGGGTGGTGCAGTTTCAGCTACAGAATGATCAGCACTTGAGCGAGAGCATCCCTAACAAAGGGCATATGTTTGCATGCCCAGTTGCAGACTCTCCTCCCCGGGAGCCAGGCCCAGATAATTATATTTGGTCATTTTTTCTTTTTTTTTCCTTTTCCCCACTTCAATTTTAAAGGTGCGGCTTATATTTGGGTGTGGCTTATGTTCGTGCTGTGATAAGAATTTTAAAGTCTTAGATATATAATAAATGTCCATAAACGTACCAACCAAGCACGTACATAGATCAGCACAGGAAGGCCGACCTGAAACCATTTTTGATTCCCCAACCGACCAAATGTTTTCTCTGCAAGGTCAAAGGAAAATGGAAAAGCCTCATACTTGAGTAAGGATCTCATGCTCTACTGGCTAAACTGGGAAACCCCCTGAGCTAAAACTGTGAGCACACCTCACCTTGCAGTGACTCTTTCTAGACCTCCATTTATTTTGTCTTAGCCTAATAATTCATAACCTCTGATGTCTTGAGGACCGTTTTCTTAGTTCTTGTTTTGGGCGAGTCACATATTTTCACATATTTTCCTGCATTGTAGCTGCTGCAAAACTATCCGGCTCGCAGACCCTCCAAGTGTCCCTATTTTCCAGGGTCAGTCCCAGATTTACAGAAGCTGTTTCCCAGTTTCTGATTTGATCCCAGAATGTCCCGCTTTTCCTTAGGACGTCCCTGTTTTCATCAGAGAAACATTGGAGGGCATGGAGTTATGCGACCCCAGAGCCAAGGAGATACGGAACTATACAACCTTTAGAAGCCATCTGAAGGCAGCCCAGTATAGTGAAATTTTTTTAAAATTTTATTTTTAAAAAATGTTTTTATATATGCTGGAAGCCGCCCAGGGTGGCTAGGGAAACCCAGTCAGATGGGCGAGTTATAAATAATAAAAGTATTCTTATTATGAAATAGGACATCCCAAGTTTTCATTGAAGAAATGTTGGAGGGTATGCGACTGCACTGAACAAGCAAGATGAATGAAAAAGAAGCATGAATGGAAGTGTGAGAGACATTCAAATGTCAAGGAGATAAAGAGCTACACAACTTTTAGAAGACATCTGAAGGCAGCCCTGTTTTTAATGTTCGATATTTTGCTGTGTTTTTATATATGCTGTAAGCCACCCAGAGTGGCTGGGGAAACCGAAGAAGAAGAAGAAGAAGAAGAAGAAGAAGAAGAAGAAGAAGAAGAAGAAGAATTATAGATTCTCATAGGTAGCTGTGTTGGTCTGACGCAGTCGAAATAAATTAAAAAAATTGTCCAGTAGCACCTTAGAGACCAACTAAGTTTGTTCTGGGTATAAGTTGGTCTCTAAGGTGCTACTGGACAATTTTAAAATAATTAGTATTATTATTATTATTCCAGGTTTGTGCATGCTTCACATCAACTAGTTACGTGTCAGTCAAAACTGATACAGGGCTGATCATTCAGTCTAGCTCCGTTGGAAGGTAGAAAGAGTTGAGTTTTCATTCAGCATTGCTATTTACTTTGCAAAAGCCTTTGGCATTTTCTTGCATGTTTCCTTTTTTACTCTCCGGCCTCCTCAAGGTCCAGCTGACAGCATGTGGCCTGCAGACCTCAGCTGAAGAATCACACATGTTCCCAGCAACTGCAAAGACACTTACGGCTTTTCCATTTTCAAGCCATGTCACCGTAGGGGTTGGAATGCCAGTTGCTGCACATCGCAGCGTCACCACAGAGCCAAAGCTGACATTGTAGGATTCGGGAGCTTTCAGGATTCGGGCGAAAACTGTATATGGAAGAAGACAAAGTTGTGGTTAATATTCATGCTCAGCCACTGGTCAAAACTCTGGGGATTTCTCTGTCGGAAAGCTCATCAAACAGCTGAAAGTCAAGCTAATCCAAGGTAAATCCAAATCATTACTGAAGGCAAAAAACAAGCATCATCATCATCATCATATTTATATGCCACCCATTTGACTGGGTTTCCCCAACCACTGTGGGCAGTTCCCAACAAAATAATAAAGACACAATACAACATCAACCATTAAAAACTTCCCTAAACAGGGCTGCCTTCAGATGTCTTCTAAAAGTTAAACAGTTGCTTATCTCTTTGACATCTTATAGGAGAGCATTCATCCACAGGGAGGGCGCCACTACCAAGATGTCAGTTTGTTGTACTTTTGCGCATATACAGTAGACCCTCTGGTTACGGATATAATTCATTCTGGGGGTCTGTGCGCACCCTGAAAAATCCATAACCAAAGGCCTGCCTCTGTGCATGCACAATAGAGTGCTTCTGCGCATGCGCATGTGGCGAAACCCAGAAGCATACACTTCCGGGTTTGCCGCATTTGTAGCCTGAAAGTTATGTAACCGGAGGGTCTGCTGTGTGTGTGTGTGTGTGTGTGTGTGTGTGTGTTTTCTACAGTCCTGTACACAGAATTATGTACACAGAATTATGCATACCCTACAAAAGAAATACCAAAATTATCTATCATGCTAAAATAAAGGTTTGTGTCAAAAAGCTGGCTTCTGTTGCATGAATAAATTATACAAATTGCATCCCCGATCATGCCTGGATAACTCAGCCAGTGGGAGCCTGGTGTTGATAAGGTTGCAAGTTTGATTACCATATGGGACAGCTGTGTATTCCTGCATTGCAAGCGGCTGGACTCGATGATTCTCGGTCATCTAACTCTATGATTCTATTATTCTTTTTACATCTTTTACTGCTTGAGCAGGCAAAGAGGGCTGCCAGAAAAGGCCCCAAGGACCACATGTGGCCCTCGGGATGTGTGTTGGACTGCCCTGATCTGGAGGAACAGACATTCCCCTTCCCTGCCTTACAGAATCAAGCCAGCCCCTGTAAATCAAATAGGTTGCAGATTCATTTAACAGCGGTGGTGGTGGGGAATCATACTGCATGTATTACACCAGTAGATTATATCAGAAGAAACCTCTTTAGACACATCCATAATACAGAGACCGAAACAAAATGTGAAGAATTTTTGTCTGGCGTCCCTATACAAAACCCATGTAATACAACGACTCATTTCTATATTCGCAGCAGCAAATCCCTAAAGGCAAGTGCATGGAAGGATAAGATGTGTTCGAATTACCTTCCTAAGGAAATGAGGAAGTTCTTTTCATGCCAGACCTTGTTCTGTGCACGTAAAGGAGCCTTTAGCCGCATGTATAAAGTTAAAGGTAAGCCAAGTCTGTTGGCTCAGCTGTCGAGAGCATCTGATGACTCAAGTCCAGGAAATAGTACACCGTAATAATTGTTTCAAAGATGTCTCAGGACTCTGGACTTATCCATTCATCCCTTTGGCCCTGTGGTTTCTAGGCACAGGTTTGCACTTTAAAGCTCTGAGTCCGAGCATTGCTGTTGGTTGGTTGTTTGCTTGTTTGTTTTGCCCTGCGCCTTTCCCTAGGAAAACCCACTCTTTAACACTGTAGCAATTTGGGTTTTCGTGGATTGCCTGTTTGCTCTGATTCAGCATTAAAGAGCGGGCTTCCGCGGGGAAGTTATTATTATCATTTAATTTATTTATAACATTTATATACCACCATGGGACGCGGGTGGCGCTGTGGTTTAAACCACAGAGCCTAGGGCTTTGCCGATCAGAAGGTCGGTGGTTCGAATCCCCGCGACGGGGTGAGCTCCCGTTGCTCTGTCCCTGCTCCTGCCAACCTAGCAGTTTGAAAGCACGTCAAAGTGCAAGTAGATAAATAGGCACCGCTCCAGTGGGAAGGTAAATGGCATTTCCGTGTGCTGCTCTGGTTCGCCGAAGCGGCTTAGTCATGCTGGCCACATGACCTGGAAGCTGTACGCCGGTTCCCTCGGCCAGTAAAGTGAGATGAGCACCTCAACCCCAGAGTTGGTCATGACTGGACCTAATGGTCAGGGGTCCCTTTACCTTTACCCCTGCTCTAACCAGTACGCCACGTTGGGACAAATAATAATAATAATAATAATAATAATAATAATAATAATGTTCAGACACAAAGCTTTAAAGCACAAAGCTTTAAAGTCCCTTTGTTTAATTCTCCGCACTCTGTCCTTTGTAAAGTTTGCCGCGGCAAATATTACAGGGCTGACTAAAAACCCCAACAGCATTCTGCATCTCCATCCATATGCTTCAGGGAAATAGTGAAGAATAATTAAAATGGCAACAACAACCATCACTGCAAAGTTTTGATGGGGCCCCAAAGTCTTAAGTGAATCAGGACAGGAGATCAAGTTATTGCCTAGTAACTTGTGAAGTTCACACAGTCAATCTGGAAGCCTCCTGCTAAAAGAAGTGGAGGCAGGGAAAGGCTTTCGTAAAAGAAGGGCTCGGTGGATTGGGCCCATCATCTGTTGGAGGCCAAAGACACAGGCTGGGCAGCAAACCAAATGAAATCTCACTCTGATCGAAACCAAAAATTCATTTGTTCCCAAGGTACCACAGACACAGCAACAAAAGGAGATGAACCACTGTGTTTTCCTCGTCTCTCCAATAACATTTAATTTATTTATGACATTTATATACCATCATAGTCTTCCAAGGATCTCCTTGGACAAAGAAAGAACCAGTGCACATTAGGGGATACCAGTTTCCACCAACACTAATTATTCTCCCCTGCAAATGCACCCCAGGCTGTATGGATTTATTTTTCCTTACTGGTCTCCAGCACTGAAATCAAGCCAGCTGAGGGGGCAAAAATAACCAGATGCAGCCCTTTCGGGGGGAGAACTGGCTCGCGTGGGAAATATTAAGTACCCTCTCACTGCCAACTTCCACATACAAAAAACCTCCCCCTGTTCCAAGCCCAACATTCTGTTAACACAGCAAATGAGGGTTTGGAGATACACATTGAACAACTTGAGAAGCGACTTGCCCTCAAGTTTAATGCAGGCATTTATCTAACTCCACTAAGCAAGGAATTCGGGGCCAACTTGGGTGCATGAGAAGAAACACGACAGTCAAGAGACATGGTCGTGGTCCAGAGAAGAGACTGGGAAGCTAAAGGACCTTCTCCTTTCTCTGAGCTTCATTGTGAAGGTTGCAGCTCTTGCATGTCCCCTGCCAAGGACTAATGATTAAGCGGGGGGGGGGGGTTAGCTTTTGAGATCTGCTTTTTTCTTTTTCTTTTTTTTAAAAAAAATTTTATTAAAGATTTTCTTGCTTTACAGAAGTACCGTAAGTGTAATGTCTCTAATATTTTTTCCGTGTAGCATTTTTACAAATCCGTTTCATTTGTTGAGACATTAGGGGGGGGGGGGAAGAAGGGGTGGAGGGAGGGACGATGGGTGGGGTCGGGTGGCGATTTTCTGTTATGCTTAATGTATGTAGGGTTTGGTGTCAGCGTTGCTTGTGCTGTTCACTTGTGTTCCTTTGGTGGTGAGAGAGGTTGGGGTTGGCCTAGGATGTGATTGTTTCTTTGTTTTCGTGTGTGAGTGGGGTGGGTGGGTGTTTTGGATCAGGTTAGCCATATTGATTTGTATGCTGTTGGTGGATTATTGTCATTGTCTTGTTGGGCTGTGTGTGTGATAAAGGGGAGCCATACTGGGGTAAAGGCGTCTTCTTCTGTTTGTCCCCGTGTCAGATTCAGTTTATTGGTTAATTTTTCTAGTAGGGCTGTTTCCCATACTATTTGGTACCATTGGTCCATGCTTACTCCTGACAGGTCTCTCCAGTGTCTGGTTATGGTGTTTCTGGCTGCTGAAAGTAGGTGGGTTATGAGTTCTTTGTGGTGTAAATGGGCATCGTTGTCTTGGAAGATGTTTAGTAGGGCCAATTCTGGGGTGATGTCTAATACTTGCTTAGTTATTTTACATATTTCTTGCATGGCTGTTTTCCAGAATAGATCTGCTGAAGTCATTTAGGTGCCATCATTCATGCCCACATATCAAGTCCTTTTCACACAGACTTTGCTTTTTGTTGCACACTGGACTGAGCCCAAGGAGTTCTCTAGTTTCTCTGGATTTTGTAATGTGGAGAGCACAGTCCTGCGGATGACCGTGAGGTTCTGAGACTGCCACAGCTTCGTGACACCCACATGCATTATCATCGTTGTTACAAAGGCCCCTGTTTAAGACATGCACTTTGTTAAACCATGCAGATTGCGTGTGCGAGGGGGAGCCGTTTCCCAATGAGGTATGCGCAGCCATTTATCCTGGCTGACTTCCAAATCATTCAGATAATTGGAAATTTGGATAAATGGGTATGCCAGCCACGCGAGGTTACATTTATACTGCTCTGTGGGGTGAATACACAGTGAACGCATAGAATGAACTTGCGCAACGTGGTGTTTAGATTAAATCGTGTTTGATTAATGGGGTTCTACCGAGTATACAGTGGCTTGCAAGATTCGCCCAT